CTTTGAATTTCTCTCTCTCTCTCTCTCTCTCTCTCTCTCTCTCTCTCTCTCTCTCTCTCTCTCTCTCTCTCACACACACACACACACACACACACACATAAGTTAAGCCCACAACATTTCATGTGCACCAGAAAAACACATTAAAACTTGAAACACAAAATATTTTGCAGGGTGATGTTCTTACAAAACAACAGTTGTCTCACTTTATGATCCTGGGTTGAGGTTTAAAAAAACTGTAAATGTCATTTCTTTCCCTGTTTGATGTCGTGGTTGCAATAGGTCCTGGAATGCATCTCCAAGGGTTCCCCTGGGACTGTGTATGTTGTGAAGAGTAAGGAGGATCAGGAGAAATATGTCCTGAAAAAGGTGAGTGAGTAGAAAAATCTTGCACATATAAGGAGAATGTAAAAAAAAATGTGATTTATCGCACGTTACTGTTTTAGGAACCCATCCTCTTTTTAACCATCTAGACTGTGGGAATATTGTGATAGAACTTTTTACTTTTGTACAAGCTTGTACTGTGATCTTGATCCACATGAAATTTTGAATCTGCATACTTTTCTTGAAAAAGAGAAATGTGAAATATGTGATAGAGCTAAAGCTAGATTTAGTCAGAGGTGGCAAAATTCACTAAATTGGCTAAACATCACAATTCTATTGTTACAGTTTTTCTTCTTTCATTTGTTTTTAACAGCAATGACCTTCTCTTTTCCTTTTGCAGGTAATCAAGATTGTTATCCTTGATATCATTTTAAGATGTTGCTGTTTTTATACAGTGTTCTTGAACAGGCTGAGTCATTCATAATGAGTAGGCCTACCAAGTGAAGCAAATGAAAAATTGTACTCACCCATATCAGGATACTGAGGCATTTGGTGCAACTGTAACTATTTACCTGGTTGTGTTTTTTCAGTGCTAAAGAGTTCATTGAGCTATCACTTAAAATCCACATGTTTTTCCTTCGCAGATTGAATGCCATGATGAAAGTGATGCTGTCAAAGCATTCTTCGAGGTAACCACATTTTACTTGTCAATACAGCACAACCAATGTTGTTGTTTTTTCAATAGTGATCCATTAAATGGTGTGGTTTGCTCCTTCTTTCCTATCAAACATCTGTCATCCTTATCTCCCCTCCTTCTTTTTTGTGTTTGTTTCTCTCTTGTAACACATGATCTTTTCTTCTGCACTTATATTATATGACTTTTTTGTGTTGCAAGTGCTGTAAACTCTTACTAAAACTAAAAATAAATTCTCCTTTTAAGTTTTATTATAGTGTTTTGTCACTGGGCAAAGTTTGCTGGGTGGGTGGTTGGCGGGTGCTCTGGTGTGGTTTGCTGGTTCTTTCCTATCAAACATCTATCGTCCTTATCTCCCTTCTTCTTTTTTTTGTTTGTTACTCTCTTGTAACATCTCTAATCTTCTGGCGCTCATATGACCTTATGCAGTTGCGAGCGCCGTAAAACCTCTACTAAAACTAAACAAACTTAAAGTTTGCTGAACTTTTCCTGACGTTAGTTTTTTTGCGTGGTTGTCCATAGGAGTTGGAACTGAAGAAGCTGGACCATCCGTATGTCTGTGGCTACAAGGACTTCTTTGTCACTTACGAAAAGGAGGTAATCTGTGGCACTCTCTCTCTCTCTCTCTCTCTCTGTCTCTCTCTCTCTCTGTCTCTCTGTCTCTCTGTCTCTCTGTCTCTCTGTCTCTCTCTCTCTCTCTCTCTCTCTCTCTCTCCCTCTCTCTCTCTCTCTCTCTCTCTCTCTCTCTCTCTCTCTCTCTCTCTCTCTCTCTCTCTCTCTCTCTCTCTCTCTCTCTCAGTTTCACTCTCTTTCTCTCTATTTCTATCTCTCTCCCCCCCCCCCCCTCTCTTTGGCTGTCTTTGTCACACTCCTACGGTCCCTTTCCCCTCCACTTTGTTCCCATTTTCCTCCCCCTCTCTCTTATCTATTACTCTCTAGAAATACCTCTAATCTTCGACATTTATATGACCTGTTTTTGTTGTCGTAAGTGCTGTAAAATTTTTACAAAAGCTAAAACTAAACAATATGTGAGGCAGCGTAATGGAATCAGACTCTCGTCAATTTTTGGGCATGTAGAGTTATTGGTATCGTCTTAAAGCTTGTTCACTTCTTTTTATTTAGATGAAAAGAATATCCATCTAGAGAGAATACAAGTCGAGATATTTGCGAAAGAAGGAGGTGGGGGTCACTTGTTTTCAGAGGTAAAATTAGTGAGAAAATGGCAGCCAAAGATTAGTTATTTCCTTAGCTTAAGAGTCCGTGGTAGCTGAAAATTTACATTTTTTGTGCCTTTAATCAACGCTTTTCAGAAAAATCCGCACAGAAATGAGTTCTTTAATGGGCATGAAAGGTGTTGAGCCAAAAAACAAAAATTTGATACAAATTATTAAAAAACCTGCGAAAAAATGCATTTTTTTTCACTTTGATTATTTTGACGAGAGCCTGATTCCACCTCATTGCCTCCTATGGACTCTGTATTTTGTGACATCACTGTTCCCCCCCCCCCAGGACTCCTCCATGTTCGTCAACATCATCACTCAGTACTTCGAGAAGGGAAATCTGGACCAACTAGTCCGAGCCTACCAAGAAAAACAGGAGCCCATCCCAGAACAGGTAACCGGGGAAAACTGGTTTGTATATAGTGGTTAGGTAAAAGTTTCAATGTACTCACAAATACTGGATTGGAAAAGTTATTTTTGTTCAGTTTTTTTAAGGATAAGATGAAACATTTTTTTTTTCTTTTAAGGAGTGAAAAAGATGATTGGTGAGATCCTAGAGGGTCTTGTCTACCTTCATGAAAAGGAAATTATTCACAGGTCGTTTTGGGGGGTTTGGTTTTTACCATTGACTCCCCCTGCTTGGTTTACGTTTTACAGTAATCTCAGAAAGAGACACTTGAGATTCACTCTCCACATAAATATATCTATTTGACTTGACAAACTGCTGTTGTGTGGAAAGATAGAGGGAAAGAAGAGCAGCCGAAGGTCTCTCTCTCTCTCTCGCTTTCTTCGGGTACTGTGGCGTCATAAACGGTCAGCGATGCCGACAGCACGCAGGAACTCAACACTTGCCCGGGGGTCCTTGAAAAGTGCTGAAAGTGGGTTACTGAAATGTCCCAACAGACGGGGTCTGGCACGATAGCTGGCGGGACATCTCAGGAACTCATGGTCCATAGTTTCGTCCTCCTCCTTGCAGTCTCGACAGGACAGATCTGGGTTGTCTGCTGACACAATTTTGTGGAGATGTGATCTGAGCTAGGGCGATTTTCCACCAGTTCTCATTAGCAGATGAACAACATAGGCTGACAGCTTGAACAGTTTTGCGACAAATCTCACAAAGAGACAAACTGAGCTGATCAAGAGGGGAGACAACAGGAAGGAGTGGGTGCCACGATTATCAACGTCTTTTCCCAACATGACGCATGGAGAAGACGAATGGAAATATTGGAAAGAAAAGCATAATATAATAATTGTTCCAATTTTTTTCCATAAATCAATAAACAGTTTATAACTGATAAGATCAATAAACTGCTTGTTTATAACTGATAAGATCAATAGACTACTTGTTTATAACTGATAAGATCAATAAACTGCTTGTTTAAAACTGATAAGATCAATAAACTACTTGTTTATAACTGATAAGATCAATAAACTGCTTGTTTATAACTGATAAGATCAATAAACTACTTGTTTATAACTGATAAGATCAATAAACTACTTGTTTATAACTGATAAGATCAATAAACTACTTGTTTATAACTGATAAGATCAATAAACTGCTTGTTTATAACTGATAAGATCAATAAACTACTTGTTTATAACTGATAAGATCAATAAACTGCTTGTTTATAACTGATAAGATCAATAAACTGCTTGTTTATAACTGATAAGATCAATAGACTGCTTGTTTATAACTGATAAGATCAATAGACTACTTGTTTATAACTGATAAGATCAATAAACTACTTGTTTATAACTGATAAGATCAATAAACTACTTGTTTATAACTGATAAGATCAATAGACTACTTGTTTATAACTGATAAGATCAATAGACTACTTGATTGTAACTGATAAGATGATTTTTTTTTTTCTTTCAGGATGTGAAAAAGATGATTGGTGAGATCCTAGAGGGTCTTGTCTACATTCATGAAAAGGAAATTATTCACAGGTCAGATGGATTTTTAAAAAGTTATAGATATTAATGTTATCACAAAACAGATATTGGCAGGACGTATATCATCGTTTATTTAAAAATGCAAACATTTATGAAATAATTTTTGTTTTTCTCTTTTTTTTCCAAAGATTCCCAAATGTTTGTACCTGGAAGATACTGATAATATTTTGATATCAGTTTATCATTTTTGGCTGTGTCAAAGTAGTAGGCATGATAATTCCTTTGTAGAAACCATTTTTGCTGTGTTTGTTTTTAGTTTTAATAAGAGCACTTACCACACAGATAGTTTATGTAAGTGCCCAAATTTGGATGTGTTACTGGAAGGCAAGATACTCAGAAAAGGAGGAGAGATAAGGACAATATGTGAGGTGTGCTGACAAAATGAGTTACTTCACGCAATCCAGAAATAGAGGTATTGACCAAAAATCGACATTAGGGTCAAATTTGTAGATTTTCTATTGATGCCATTTTCTTTAACTATAACCTGCCTTTTATTATTTCATACTTACAAATTGTAAAAACTTCACCCATAAGCGTGATATATCTATTTCCTTAAGGCTTTAATCAGAGAAGTAACTCATTTTGTCATCACACTTCACATATGTGTGATAGGAAAGAAGGAGCAGACCACACCAGAGCTCCAGCTGGCCATCTAGATAACATCTATAGACTCTGCTAAAGAATGCTACTATAATAAGACTCAGCTAAAGAATGGTACTATAATAAGACTCAGCTAAAGAATGCTACAATAATAATGATAATAGTAAGGATAATTTCCATGTTATAGTGACCTCTTCCTGATGACTCTTGGCACTTAACATCTATTATATATATAGCAACTTGGAAACACATATGTCACTTTTCCCATAAAACTATGACAGCTACAGAGTTGAAAGTTGGCAAGTATCAGCTAAAAGATAGATAGGTCCCCTTCACAGAGCCTGATTTTTCATTTATTCATTTCCTGAATTTAGAGAAATATTATAATATGATTATTCCACTGAGAAACGAAACAAATCTGCGTAGCTGTCCTTCACAACGGAAGTGCCGAAAGTGATATTTTGCAAGGCACATTTTGTTTTGAGAGTATAAATCTAGACCTTCTAATTTTTTTCATCTCTCAAGATTTATTGCTCCATTCTAGTAGAATGTAAATATAGTAGGCCAATGGTTTTCAGTTGATGTTAATGCACCAATCATTCCTTTCATCGAAAGTTAACATTTTATGCATAGTGGCCCATTCAACATACAACAATCCTTTAGAATACCGTACCTATACCCCTGTGATGTAACACAGAACCCGTATGCAAACAGACAGTCACTGTGGCTGATGATCTCATTTGTTGTAGAAAGGAGACTCAAACTATGACACGGGGGCTCTTGTGGCCTAAAGGTTAAGGTGTTGGCCTCTCATTCAAAGGTCCCGGGTTCGAATTCAGGTAGCAACGGAACAATTTTTTTCTCTAAAATTGTCTCCTTTCGCCTCCTTTCCTGCTCTCTAGCAATGTTCTGTTGTCGACTTTCATCTCCTCTTTCTTCCCCCACCCCCTCACCGCCTTGGCCCCCTCCTCTGGGCTCCTGACTCTTTCTGTAGCCTTTCTACTGTTACTCCTTGGCTCCTCCTTACTGCTGTCTTTCAGCCTCACCCCTGATCTTCTGGTATGAAAGATCTACTCCTAGCCTTCTTGGACAAGGACAAAAATCTCGGAGGGCCCGTGTGCAAGTTGCGCTCATTAAAGATTCCTTGGTGGTCTACGCCACCGGCGCAAAATTCAAAATTCCCTACCAACCGAAATTATTAGGTGTGTCCCAAGCGCTCATATGACCTTATGCAGTTATGAGCGCCTTTAAAACACTTACCAACCTCCCCCCCCCCCCAAAAAAAAACAACCCAAAAAACTATAACACTGTTTCCTCCTCAGGGACATAAAACCAACCAACATCTTCATCAACTCCAACGGCGCAATGGTCCTGGGCGACTTCGGTGTCTCAACGGTCATGGGTGACATGACGACTAACACAAGAGCCACCGTCAGTACGTCTATTTCTGTCTTGTGAAGTGAGGGGAACGGTGTCTTCTTCTTCTTGTCTAACTAGAGGCACCATTAGTACACTTATTTCTGTCTTGGGAATTGAGTGGAAGTGATTGACTTGAAATCAAGTGCTCGTAATCTTTTTTGCTGCGTGGAGTTTTTATATCATCTTAAAGCTTGTTTATTTGTCATGATTTCGATGAAAAGAATACCCATTTATCTTGAACAGAAGTTGAGGTATTTGC